ACTCTTACTGTGGATTACATAATACCAAACTATTTCATAACCCTCCAATCCTCTGATTTAATGTCTAGCTGTGGATTGTTTAAGAACATGCTCTGCCAAATTAATTCTAAAACCTAGTCAGCTAAGGCCACCACAAGTTGATGGCCGGAATGATAAAGCTGAGTCAACAGGATTGAGTCGTCAACTATGGAGGACTAATATCAGCTTCCCCATTGACAGAGCAGAAGTACAGCTATGTGGGCTGGAGCACTTCCGTTCTCAATGTGTCTGTACACAAGCAAAATTAGTCCCTAAAACTCTCTAGAAATATCCAGACACATGTAGCTAGAGAGAGGGGGAGGGAGGGAGAAAGAGAAAGGGAAAGAAGGAGAGAGGGAGACAGAGAGTGCTACTGAGCACTTAAAAGTGGCTACTATGATTGAGGAAATAAAACTTATTTCATTTCAATAATCCATGTAGACAATGTGTTCCAACAGTGCTGTCATCCAAGATGTTGCTATAAAATTTAAAATACTAGAATAGAGGCTGGGAACGTAGCTCAGTCGTACAGCAAGGGTTTTGCTTGTTGAGGCCCCTGAGTTCTATCAGGCCTGTGCTGGTTAGTTTTTGTCAAGTTGACACAAACTAGAGCCAACTGGGAAGAAGGCACCTCAGTTGAGGAATTGCTTCCATCTGATGGCCCTATGGCATATCCATGGGGCATTTTCTTAGTTGCTAATTGACGTAGATCATAGTCCACTGGGGGTGGTGCCATCCCTGGGCAAGTAGGACTGGGCTATATGAGAAAAATAGCTGAACAAGTGAGAGGAAACAAGCAGAATTCCCCCATGATCTCTGCTTAAGTTCCTGCATCCAGATTTCTCTTGAGTTCCTCAATGATGGACCGTAAAGTATAAGATGAAATAAACCCTTTTCTCTTCAAATTGGTTTTGGCCCGTGCTTTATCATAGCAACAAAACCCAAATTAAAACAAGGAAACATTTCCAATAGGCAAGCTACACTTTCATACCAGGAAAGCCAAGACAATGGGCTAAAACATTTGGTTGTGACAATTTTAAAACCACGCATCAGACTTCCTTCATTTTCCCACCCATACAACAGTTCCACAAAAACCATCTGGCGGTGAAATCAACCTTGCTGTGCACATCTTGAGTTGGAAAGGTTGGGATGGTAGGGAAATGTAAAGTCTGATGTTAGTGGAGAATGACAGTAGCTGTGGAGGTAGAAGATAATCCCTGGAGCTTGCTGGCCAGTCGTGCCAATGAGTGGGATAAGGGTTCAGTGAGAGACATTGTCTCACAAAATAAGGTAGGGAATCATTGAAGAAAACACTAGATGTCAATCTCTGGCTTCAACTTGCACACATGTGCATGTAAACCCACATACACACACATAACCATTAACATAACATAATAAAATATAATATATATGAGATGATGTCATATTGAGTTCCAATGGAACTCCGTTCTTGCTTTTCTGACTGCAGGCGCAGAAAACTGGACTGGATCAACCAATGTGACAGTTGATGAGGTTCTAGGTCCTTTGGGTTTCTTGTGGGAGGAGGGTTGTTTTGTCTTTCAGAGAGGATTACTGAGGGTGCTACCATTTCCCAGGCACCCCACATAGAAAGAGGTTTGAGGAAACAGCAGGATGAATGATGTTGCCTTCTCTTCTTGGGGAGCCAGTGTGTCTCTCCTTACCACTGTCATCCTACACTGACAGCACAGCCTAGTTTCCTCACCTTTCCACACCAGCTGCTCTCCAGGGAGCCTCCAGGCTTTCAGTGCCAGATGAAGATGCTGAGGTATCTATCCAGTTTAGTTGACTGAGTGGTTACTGAGTTGTTTGCTTGCCTCTCCATTGTGCTGACAGGCACGAGAAGACTCCCCAAACCCCATGCTACAAACCAGTCTAATAGATCCGATTTTAGCACACAGAGACAGACACACACAGAGAGAGAGAGAGACACACACACACACACACACCACACTATTGGTTCTGTTCCTCTAGAGAACCCTGCCTAATACATCTGGCTTTGAGAAAGTCTTCCTAGACTGCCTTGGGTAAAGCCCCAGCAGAGGCCGCCTCTGTCTAGGACAGGAGCCACAAAGGGGGACAAGCTGGCATAGGGACCTCTCAGCTGGTGCCACTACACCCTGACTGCATGTCCATCTACCTGTGCAACACCTGAAGGCAGAAGATGCCGAATTTCTTCCCCTATTCATTTCATCCTCTCCTGGATCCTTAGCAGCATCCTAACCCTCCCCTGCTCGCCCTCCCCCCACCTTTTTAAGTCCCAGACTCACTACTCAGGCTTCCAGGTTGGCCTCAAACTCGTGGTCCTCCGGTTTCAGTTTTCTCTTCAGACTATGTTCTTTGTTCATTCTGTTCCAGCTACACTAACTTCCTTGAGTTGATCTTACAGCAATTAAACCTCTTCCCTACCCCACCCCTTAACACCCCACACTCACCCCACCCCTTAACACTCCACACTCACCCCTCCACCCCACCCCTAGGTCTTTTTTTTTTTTTTTTTTTTTTTTTGGAAACTCCCCCCCCCTGGGGCAAAGCCCTCCCTGATCCAGAAATATCTCCTCTGGACACACCCCTCCCTCATTAAAATCTGAAGGCACAGCAACATGACTGGTATAGCCCCCAAATACACAACCAAGCATGAATTTTGACTTGTTAGGCCCATGATGCTTCTTGGATCATTTTGAACTCGGAAACCACTGAGTCACAATGAAAACACAACTACAAAATAAAACTAAGTCATTTTACATTTGCCTCCCGGCCTTGTTTCACATTTATTAATATCAGTATTTCAAACCTGCTCCTGGAACGTCTTCTCCCCTAGCTCCATGTGCTGTAACAACATAATGAAGTCTGTACCCAGTCACCGAAATTTTAAAAAGCCAAATTTTATATTATGGAGAGGTTCTCCTCTGGATTCCGCCTGCCAAACGTCACTGCACACCAGGTAAAGTCGGGCTTATCAAATCAATGTCTCTATCTAATTCTGTTAGGCCTTAGCTTCGACATCTATAAAACAGGGACCACAATGATCAGAACAGTTCTATGGATTTGGTGAGACACTTGTTAATCACTTGGCACATGCCAGTACTTAAAACACGACGGAGCTGGGTATATAGTTCAGTGGTAGAGGACTTGTCTAGCATGTTTGAGGCCCTGGTGCAAACTACAGCAACATAAAATACACACATGCAACAAATCATAACTGGTGGGTGCTACATCCTGACAAAATGGACTTTTTTGATTACCAAACAACTTCCCAAAAGCAACAACAAAATGAAGATAGTAACAAAAGTTACAGCAGCAGTGACTGGAAATATGACTCAGCTGACTCTAAATCCAGACTTTTATTTACATTAGTTGTGTCTAGATCTGGTTTCTTGCCTTGCCTTGGCCTAATACAGCCGGCATTGACCACTGGGAGCATTTTATTAAACCCTCATCAGCATCCTCCATTCTTAGCTTGCCTTTAGTGGTGGTTCCTAAGAAAGGACAATAAATGGCAGCAAGGGTGGTTGGTAACCTGTTCTTTTTCTCCTCAGTATAAAGTAGTCAAAACTACTTTGATCTTTTATTTCCCAGGAGGGATTTATGCAGGCATGAACAGCATCTAACTTTCAAAGGTTCTTTCAGCAGACCACTAACTGGAAACAGCCTTAATCACGAATTGATAAAAACAACTAATTCAGAAACATCGGCTTGAAGGGTTTATTCCTTCAGCCGTCATCCTGAGCCCTTTCTAATCACTATTGCAGGACACCACCGGCTCTCTTAATAAAAACATCCCAAACGAACTAAATGCAACATTTCACATTCTCAGGCGTCTACCAGTACCCAAATCTTGACACCAGGGGGGAATGGCACCAGTGTGCACTCTTTCCAGTACCCAAATCCTTTAAAATAAGTGCTTACTGTGATTTTCCAAGTACATTTGCTATTCGGAGGGTACATTCCAGGAAAACCTTCACTGCCAATAAATCCAGACTCTCCGGTAAGAATGCCGCCACATGTGAAAACAGGTCTGGGAAAATAAGAGGAGAGAACACTTAAATGGAAACACAGTCTAGCAATCTATTGTGAATTTCAAAAAGGTGTACGAGCTGATACGAACAAGTTAATATTGTTTAAAAAAAAAAACCTTGCACCAGATAAGAAATCTGAAAGCTTGACAGTTCTTAGAGTATTTAAATCATAGCCCGATAACTAATTTGCCTAAATACATCATTAACTTAAGATAGGTCATTCATGCGCATATATGAAAATATTCCACTCAGAGTGTTGTATAAAAATTGAATGATTTAACTGGAGAGAGTGGGAGAGGTGGTGAGCTCAGGCCACTCTGGAAGAGCCGCGAGGTTTAAAAGCCATGATAAATAAAAAGTTTGTAAGTTCCCAGATTGGGAGACAGACCTTGTTTTCTCCCTGTTTCGGGAAAACTTGGGTTTCTCAATGCGCCCCTCCCCGCGACCAGGAAATGGGAGGCAGAGGCGGCTGGAGGTGCTGCAGAGAGTTAGCCATCCTGGAGGTGCCTCTGCCCTGGCCCTGGGATGTTATAGTGAGGATTCACTTAAAAGAGCGGCTCCCCGGATTCCCCTTAGATTGGCCAAGGCTGGGAAGAAAAGAGCTGGGAAGAGGAGGGAGCACATTCGAGCGCTAGTGAACCCTGCACCAGCACACAAACCGCGGGGAAGAGAGGCAAGGGAGAGTGAGCCGCGCCACGTGGTG